TCCTCGAAAGCACAATTAGGTGAGTACATTCAAAGCGCGCGGTTTTCGCCAGTTGATCGGGTACAATCCGTCCTCAACTCAAGTCCATTACTTCTAGCGGTCGACCCCACAGACGCATTCATAAATTTTTACATGCTTTTCATTCATGCTTTTCATTCAAAACGGGAATTTTCTCAAATATAAACTAATATTATAATACATTAGCATATTGTGCATACATATATATATATTAGTTGATTTTATACCCGCACTGGGTCAGGTGATAATACAATAAAGGTGAAAACATGGGGGGATACATAAGGGATAAATGTGAGGTGAAACATTGGGGTAACTGCAGAAGGCTTATTGGCCCATACGAGGCAGCTCCTATCTAAACACAAAGATTAATCCAGTGTAATTGGCCTATTATGTTGGACATTGTCTTCTGTGTTGGCATCGATATGTTCTTGTCTTGTCTTTACTCTCATGGTGGTTAGAGTAAATAGTTCCGTGATTTGGGTGTTCATGGTAGGTCGCTCTATTCTTATGTGAATTGCCTCAAGAATTTGTAATCTTCTTGCATCTTGGGTTTTGTCTATTATGCAGGTATTCTTGTTCAACATTTCTCTTGTTAGAGTAATGTCATAGGCTTGTCTCATGTGATTCCTAGGGGCACCGGATTGAAGATAGAATATATATATAAGCATAGGTTAGGTTAGGGTAGGTGTTTAGGTTCTGTTGGCGATTATTTGTATATGTAGTACGTGGGTGAAGCATTTATAGCGTTGTGGTTCGAACAAAATTCTTCAGAGAAGCACTTGTTCTGGAAGAGTTCGAACAAAATCAGTGAATCGTGTGTAAACCGTTTTTCATTTATAAACAGGGGGTTTGGCAGATGCATGGAATCACTTTTGGGTCTTTGTTTGGAGGACGGGCTGGGGTACCAGGGAGTGTCGATGACCTGGGGCCAAGTTCACGAAGTAGTTACGCAAGTACTTACGAACGTGCACATCTTTCCTGAATCTTTGACGGCTTTGGTTACATTTATTAAAGAGTATACATGCATGAAAACTTCCCAAACAACTGTATTGTTATAAACAGCCTCCTGGTGCTTCGTAGCTCATTAACTGTTTAATAATAGTAAACAACGCCGCCAAAGACAGAGAAAAGATGTACAGGTTCGTTAGTGCTTGCGTAACTGTTTTGTGAATTTGGCCCCTGGTCTGCGGTCTCTGCGAGCAGTTGCTTCTTTAATTTAAGTCCTTTTGTCAGTGTAACAAGGATAGATTAGAGGTTATTCATTTGTGGAACTATGCTGTGGAGTTATTAAGCCATTCATTTTGATATTAGAGTGGTATCTGACTTTGCCAAAATACTGGGCTAGTCCCGAGGTTAATTTTAATGTCTGTATTACTGAGGACATTTGCATGACGTGTTTTTCAAATATTACTGGAAATAAGTTGAATTACTCTTTAAATTATCCTTCCCGCCATTTCTGGTTCCCAACTGCAGGGAGGACCCAACTATTCTCGATCTATTCAACTATTAACGACACGTAACAGTGATAGTGTACACTGAGATTTGGTAGTGGGCAGACGCATACGCTCAGCTCCAGGATTTTGTTTGAAATCGTTGATTGTGAGGCGGGGCGATATCATGTGAACTACTACTGGAAATGTATCATCACAAGGAGCAGCTTAGTTAACCTCAGGGAGGTTATGTCGACGTTGTCTCTGGGAAGTTGCAAGTTGAAGTGCAACAGTGAGAAAAATCCTTGGTTTGGGGCCAAGGATTTAGTCTGACGTCCATCAGGTCCCCAGATCTGGGGATCTGATGGAAGTCAGACGCCCAGCTGAGCAGACCCATGGTGCTGGGGACCTCTGTGAAGGGTCACTCTTCAGCTTACTCCGGATGTGCGACATTTCTCTGGGAGACTCCGTGCCTAGGAGGACTGGTATTGCTGAGGAGAGGAACGCAGTGAAGCCGTTTCATGCAAGAGTATCCCTGACTTTGATTACCCAGTAAAAAACAGTGATTCAAGTAGTTGAGCAATGCGAGTCTACTGCGCCCGGGAGCCATCATGTGAGCAGTATAATGCTACGATTTGCTTCTCTAGTGCCATTAGCAGTTTTGGTTTGAGCAGTATTCCAAGTGAGCATAGACTGTTTCAGTGATTTAGTATTGGCAGCCCTCTGGGGGAGGAGGAACCTCTGGTATCCAGCTACGAGAGTTTAGAAGTGGTCAGGTGTCGAGAGGCACCCTGGGAGGCACTGATGAGGCACGGTGAGGCCCCGGGGCTTTCATTAAGTCACTTGCACGCATCAGTCAGGAAGTCTGGATCATGCCAAGACTTCTGTGAACATCTGAGCAGTGAGAGCAACAGTGACACATTCCGATGGTGACCCATGGGGACACGTCCTCCGGAGAGCTGCTGGGGTCTCTGTTGCCTCAGTGATGCAATCAGAAGTAACACAGTATTTCACTCCTGTGATTCCATAGCGGAGGGATTTGACCACCCAGCCAATGACCAAATAATTCAAGAGATCCACGAATAATTGAACCATTAACCACTGACCAGCAGACAGCACCAGCAAGCCTTCAGGAGTGGGATGGGGGGGGGGGGGGCTCATAATATGGAGATGGTGAAACATTTGATAGAAAAAAGACATGAAGAAAATTAGCCCAGCTCCTACAGCAGTGGCCCAAGAGCTTAGATTTAATTGAAGATAACGACGCTCAACAATATTTAACTCCAAGATCAAGTGTAATGGTCACCATCATTATAGCCCAGGGACTCTCCATAACCCAAAAGTCTCACCATCACCATGGCCAAAGTATTCACTATCATCTTGGTCTCAGGGATTCACTATCGCTGTGGTCGCCGAGTATTGACTATCGTAATGGCCACTAGAATTTACCACCACCATAGTCCAAGGTATTCACTATCATCAGGGCCACAGGGATTCACTATCACCATGGCTCCCCCCCCCCCCCCGGGGCTTATTACCAAGAAGACATCAGGGATTTACCATCATCATCCATATAGGATTCACCATCTTTATGATCCCATATATTCTCTATCACCATTGTCTTAAGGATTCACCATCACAATGACCCCACATATTCACCATTTTCAAAACCATCATCATCGCTCCAAGAATTCATCATTAACATGGTACAGGTGTTTCACAATCATTATGGAAAAGGTGGCTCACTATCACTATGACCCCAGGAATTCACTGTCACCATGACTTCAGGAATTAGCCATCACCCTGGCTCCAGGGTACACCATTTCCATGGTCCCAGGGGGGTCTCGATAGTATAGCCAGGGGGTTCACCATCACCATGGATCCGGGGATTCTCTATGCCATGACCACATGGTATCATGATCACCAAGGCCCCGAGAGCTCACCATCAGTATGGTCCAGAGTATACCATCACCATGGCCCCTCAAACATTTACCGTCACCATTTCCCGATGGCTGACCATTACCATGCCCCCGCTGGCTCACCATTATCATGGCCCCCCTGGCTTACCATTATCATGGCCCCCCTGGCTTACCATCATCATGGCCCCCCTGGCTCACCATTACCATGGCCCCCTGGCTCACCATTATCATGGCCCCCCCTGGCTTACCATTATCATGGCCCCCCTGGCTTACCATTATCATGGCCCCCCTGGCTTACCATTATCATGGCCCCCTGGCTCACCATTACCTTGGCCCCCTGGCTCACCATTACAATGGCTCTAGGCCTCACCATCATCCTAGGACTCACCATCACCATAGCCTCTTAGCCAGTGGGTAAATATTGAAGGTATTCAAAACGATGCAATGTGAGTCACAGCGGGCTCTCAGGTCGAGTAAAATATTAGGACTTAAGACCAGAAACTAAACTTACAACTTTTGCAATAAGGCTTGTTGCAGGCTCGTTCTCCAGCATATTGACCAAACCCAAGGTTACTAAGACTAAGGATACACTGTAGATATAATCAATGAAGCCCCAGCTCGCGACAGAAGAGCTTCCAATAGCAACAGGTCTACCCCACAGTGGAGTAAACATTATCAAAACATTCGAGATCACAAATGCAATCACAGAGAAGGGGGCCAACGAAGTACATGTAGGCTTCAATATGCAAGTCCCTTGAGAATCGTTGCCAGTAGACTTTAAGGTCTTGGTTCTTCAAGGAAAATATAGAATCAGAATAACCACTATATGCTACGCAACATTGCACAGATGAATATAAAAGCAAACTTGATATCTGGCAGCTTCACATATTTCACAGAAGGATCAGAAAACTCAACAGAGGCAAGAATCCTGAGCTGTTGTTAAGGCAGAAAAATCTGTATTGGGAGATTTTCAAGCAGGTGCTTATCTTTGCAGAGATATTAGACATTCACAAGGCTTTAGAACATGTTCTTGCTAATCACTAACAACACGTTATCATACGTACAGTTTCGGGAACTGCCAGAGAAACCTTGCAACAGGAGCACTTATGTGGCAACATGCACTTGCCCATAAATGGTATAGCATTAGTGCAAACTTTCAAACGTCATGTTCGAAAAATACTTATCAGCTGGGCTTCAAGTCGTGTTGGACCAACAGGGAATGACATTTGCTGACAAAAAAAGAGATATTGCAGTGTAGAGGATGTACAGTGACCAAATCAGCTGTAACACCAGAATCTGTGAATCGGTACTTGAATTCAAACCAATACAAACTTCTTTTATTTATGAAAGAGAGAAATAGAAAAACAGAAGTGCACCTGCATCACATGAAGCTAGGATACCATGTGCACGGGCAATAGACTTACAGACTCCAGAAGAAGAAGATAAAAATTAGCATTGGGGAGAAATAACTGACATTATATAATTATACAATATAGCGCAGAGTTACAAACCAAAAATTATTTCAACTGAGATTTAACAACCCAAAAGAAGTTGCTAAACATATTGGACATATTCTTAAGGAAGCCAACATGCGAGGGTTTATCATCACCATGGCCCCGGGCTCACCATCACCATGGCCCCGGGGCTCACCATCACCATGGCCCCGGGGCTCACCATCACCATGGCCCCGGGGCTCACCATCACCATGGCCCCGGGGCTCACCATCACCATGGCCCCGGGGCTCACCATCACCATGGCCCCGGGGCTCACCATCACCATGGCCCCGGGGCTCACCATCACCATGGCCCCAATGGCTCAACATAACCAGGCCGCCCCCCCCTCAGTTTACCACAGACATGGGCCAGGGCTCACTATCACCATGGCCTCACCATCACCACGCCCTCAGGGCTCACCATCACCAAAGCCTCAGGGCTCACAATTACCATGGCCTCAGGGCTCACCATCACCAACGCCTCAGGGTTCAAAATCACTCTGACCCCTGGGTGATCACTATCACCAAGAACCCAGGGCTCACCATCACTATTACCCAGGCTTTTACCAGCGGGTCTTACAGCCTTAATTTAATACTCAATAAAACCACATGGGAGGAGGAAACTCACGGAATATTTAATATTTTTCATAAGAAAATCACTGTATTTCAGTGCCAACGTTTAGTAATACTGCTCAGAACATAATGAGCAGTATTCCCCTAATTATATGAAGCCTTTAATCGCACGAGATTAGTAAAAAATTAATTCCAGCTGCAAGAAAGAAATATACACTCTAAAATTTTATGGAATGAGCGTTTGAATGTTAATAGAGGTTGAGTTAGCAGGTGTTCTCTTCCACCTGGTTATCTCACGACCAGGAGAATGTTCCCCCCCCCCTAGTGGTACACATGTGTAGTGTCTACCTGCATGTTGGTCACTAGGAGGAGCACTAGTCACTAACACTAGCTAGTGACGTGTGACTAGTCAATCCTCTACCGCTCTCAGGGAGGGAGAGGGAGAGGGAGGGAGAGGGAAAGGGAGAGGGAGAGGAAGAGGGAGAGAAGGAGGAGAGCGGAATGATTAAAGGGAGAATGTGAGAAGATCAGGGTGCTGGGGAGAGAAAGTGTGAGATAGTGAGAGGAGAAGAGGAACAGGGAGAGGAGAAAATAGAAAAAGAGAAGAGTAATATGAAAAGACTAATGATGGTTAGACTGAGAGGGATCAGGAGGAAGAGGATGAGAGGGGAAGAGTGGGAAACAGGAAGAGGGTGAGATGGTGAGAAAGAAGAGGTAGAGAGGAGGAAGAGGGAGAAGGAATGAGGAAGAAGAGGATAGGAATAGTGATGCGGAAGGGAGAGAGTTGTAAAATTAGATTCAGGAGAGAATAACTGCACGAAAATATGAAAATCAACAGAATATATAAAGAGGAAAACATAATAATAATAATGACAGAAAAAAAGAAAACAAGAAAGTAGAGAGGGGCGACGATATAAAGATAAGAGAGGTAGAAGGAAAAGTTAAGTTCTGCAACCGTGAAGAAAGGAGAATGGGAGCTGAATAACGCGAAGAGAAAACGGGAGCACGTAACTATTGATGCCGCGTGATGCCATACCTTGTGATGTCGTAACTAGTGATACCTTGTGATGCAGTAACTAGTGATACCTTGTGATGCAGTAACTAGTGATACCTTGTGATGCAGTAACTAGTGATACCTTGTGATGCAGTAACTAGTGATACCTTGTGATGCCGTAACTAGTGATACCTTGTGATGCAGTAACTAGTGATACCTTGTGATGCAGTAACTAGTGATACCTTGTGATGCCGTAACTAGTGATACCTTGTGATGCAGTAACTAGTGATACCTTGTGATGCAGTAACTAGTGATACCTTGTGATGCAGTAACTAGTGATACCTTGTGATGCAGTAACTAGTGATACCTTGTGATGCAGTAACTAGTGATACCTTGTGATGCAGTAACTAGTGATACCTTGTGATGCAGTAACTAGTGATACCTTGTGATGTCGTAACTAGTGATACCTTGTGATGCAGTAACTAGTGATACCTTGTGATGCAGTAACTAGTGATACCTTGTGATGCAGTAACTAGTGATACCATGTGATGCAGTAACTAGTGATACCTTGTGATGCCGTAACTAGTGATACCTTGTGATGCCGTAACTAGTGATACCTTGTGATGCAGTAACTAGTGATACCTTGTGATGCAGTAACTAGTGATACCTTGTGATGCAGTAACTAGTGATACCTTGTGATGCAGTAACTAGTGATACCATGTGATGCAGTAACTAGTGATACCATGTGATGCAGTAACTAGTGATACCTTGTGATGCAGTAACTAGTGATACCATGTGATGCAGTAACTAGTGATACCATGTGATGCAGTAACTAGTGATACCATGTGATGCAGTAACTAGTGATACCTTGTGATGCAGTAACTAGTGATACCATGTGATGCAGTAACTAGTGATACCATGTGATGCAGTAACTAGTGATACCATGTGATGCAGTAACTAGTGATACCATGTGATGCAGTAACTAGTGATACCATGTGATGCAGTAACTAGTGATACCTTGTGATGCAGTAACTAGTGATACCATGTGATGCAGTAACTAGTGATACCATGTGATGCAGTAACTAGTGATACCATGTGATGCAGTAACTAGTGATACCTTGTGATGCAGTAACTAGTGATACCATGTGATGCAGTAACTAGTGATACCATGTGATGCAGTAACTAGTGATACCATGTGATGCAGTAACTAGTGATACCTTGTGATGCAGTAACTAGTGATACCATGTGATGCAGTAACTAGTGATACCTTGTGATGCAGTAACTAGTGATACCTTGTGATGCCGTAACTAGTGATACCTTGTGATGCAGTAACTAGTGATACCATGTGATGCAGTAACTAGTGATACCTTGTGATGCAGTAACTAGTGATGCAGTAACTAGTGATGCAGTAACTAGTGATGCCTTGTGATGCAGTAACTAGTGATGCCTTGTGATGCAGTAACTAGTGATGCAGTTAGTAGTGATGCAGTAAGTAGTGATGCAGTAACTAGTGATGCAGTAACAAGTGATGCAGTAACTAGTGATGCAGTAACTAGTGATGCCTTGTGATGCAGTAAGTAGTGATGCAGTAACTAGTGATGCAGTAACTAATGATGCCTCGTGATGTTGATCTTCACAGAGTAAACATTCACTTGTACACATTCCTCCTCCATCTTACATAGTCATGTGAACAGAAGCCTCCGTCTTGCCAGTTAGATATAATCACTGTTGTGTGGCATGTAGTATATTGCACGTGGACTGTTGCATGTAGAAGAAAGCTTTAATATATTGACCGCCATTGCTCCTTGCAAGAATATTGCAGTTGTTAATATTGTTATGGAGGATTTTGGTGATATTTTAGGGTGGTTGTGTGTTATGTCGAGGCTGTCTTACGGTCACCTGATAATGGCCCTGATGGAGCCTTTAAGCTGTTGGGGTTAGCGGGGTTTATGCCGCCATTAGTTGGTGGCAGGTGGTGGTGAGGGGTGAGGCTGAGGGGAGGTGGTGGTGAGGGGTGAGGCTGAGGGGAGGTGGTGGTGAGGGGTGAGGCTGAGGGGAGGTGGTGGTGAGGGGTGAGGGTGAGGGGAGGTGGTGGTGAGGGAGGTGGTGGTGAGGGGTGAGGCTGAGGGGAGGTGGTGGTGAGGGGTGAGGCTGAGGGGAGGTGGTGGTGTGGGGTGAGGCTGTGGGGAGGTGGTGGTGAGGGGTGAGGCTGAGGGGAGGTGGTGGTGAGGGGTGAGGGGTGAGGCTGAGGGGAGGTGGTGGTGAGGGGTGAGGCTGAGGGGAGGTGGTGGTGAGGGGTGAGGCTGAGGGGAGGTGGTGGTGAGGGGTGAGGGTGAGGGGAGGTGGTGGTGAGGGGTGAGGCTGAGGGGAGGTGGTGGTGAGGGGTGAGGCTGAGGGGAGATGGTGGTGAGGGGTGAGGCTGAGGGGAGGTGGTGGTGAGGGGTGAGGCTGAGGGGAGGTGGTGGTGAGGGGTGAGGCTGAGGGGAGGTGGTGGTGAGGGGTGAGGCTGAGGGGAGGTGGTGGTGAGGGGTGAGGCTGAGGGGAGGTGGTGGTGAGGGGTGAGGCTGAGGGGAGGTGGTGGTGAGGGGTGAGGCTGAGGGGAGGTGGTGGTGAGGGGTGAGGCTGAGGGGAAGGCAGGTGGTGGTGAGGGGTGAGGCTGAGGGGAAGGCAGGTGGTGGTGAGGCTGAGGGGAAGGAAGGTGGTGGTGAGGGGAGGGCAGGTGGTGGTGAAGGGTGAGGCTGAGGGCATGTGGTGGTGAGGGGTGAGGCTGAGGGGAGGGTTGGTGGTGGTGAGGGGTGAGGCTGAGGGGAGGGCAGGTGGTGGTGAGGGGTGAGGCTGAGGGGAAGGCAGGTGGTGGTGAGGGGAAGGCAGGTGGTGGTGAGGGGTGAGGCTGAGGGGAAGGCAGGTGGTGGTGAGGCTGAGGGGAGGGAAGGTGGTGGTGAGGGGAGGGCAGGTGGTGGTGAAGGGTGAGGCTGAGGGCAGGTGGTGGTGAGGGGTGAGGCTGAGGGGAGGGTTGGTGGTGGTGAGGGGTGAGGCTGAGGGGAGGGCAGGTGGTGGTGAGGGGTGAGGCTGAGGGGAAGGCAGGTGGTGGTGAGGGGTGAGGCTGAGGGGAAGGCGGGTGGTGGTGAGGGGTGAGGCTGAGGGGAGGTGGTGGTGAGGGGTGAGGCTGAGGGGAAGGCAGGTGGTGGTGAGGGGTGAGGCTGAGGGGAAGGCAGGTGGTGGTGAGGCTGAGGGGAGGGCTGGTGGTGGTGAGGGGTGAGGCTGAGGGCAGGTGGTGGTGAGGGGTGAGGCTGAGGGCAGGTGGTGGTGAGGGGTGAGGCTGAGGGGAGGGGGGGTGGTGGTGAGGGGTGAGGCTGAGGGGAGGGCAGGTGGTGGTGAGGGGTGAGGCTGAGGGGAAGGCAGGTGGTGGTGAGGGGTGAGGCTGAGGGGAAGGCAGGTGGTGGTGAGGGGTGAGGCTGAGGGGAGGAGGTGGTGAGGGGTGAGGCTGAGGGGAGGAGGTGGTGAGGGGTGAGGCTGAGGGGAGGTGGTGGTGAGGGGTGAGGCTGAGGGGAGGAGGTGGTGAGGGGTGAGGCTGAGGGGAGAGCAGGTGGTGGTGGTGAGGGTTGAGGCTGAGGGGAGGGCAGGTGGTGGTGAGGGGTGAGGCTGAGGGGAGGTGGTGGTGAGGGGTGAGGCTGAGGGGAGGGGAGGTGGTGGTGAGGGGTGAGGCTGAGGGGACGGGAGGTGGTGGTGAGGGGTGAGGCTGAGGGGAGGTGGTGGTGAGGGGTGAGGGGTGAGGCTGAGGGGAGGTGGTGGTGAGGGGTGAGGGGTGAGGCTGAGGGGAGGTGGTGGTGAGGGGTGAGGTTGAGGGGAAGGCAGGTGGTGGTGAGGGATGAGGCTGAGGGGAGGTGGTGGTGAGGGGTGAGGCTGAGGGGAGGTGGTGGTGAGGGGTGAGGCTGAG